TGAAGCTAATCATTAGTGAGCATATGTTAATTAATATCAGAGGCGGTTTTGTGAATTTTGTAATATTTTCAATAGTTGAGATCATAAGTCAATTGAAACTAGACCACCATGGAAAACCTGGAAGCACTGAACGGCCGTTTCGTCCTATTGTAGGTCCTGGGTTCGAATCCCTGCGAGGCGGGGTCGTAGATGCGCACTGCTGAGGAGTCCCACGATAGGACGAAACGGCCATCCAGTGCTTCCAGGTTTTAAATGGCTGTCTAACATCAATCGATTCATGATCTGAACTGTTGAAATCACTACAATCTCCACAAAACCCCTTCTGATTGTTAATTTGCCATTGGTTATCCAGTTACGATCAATTGATGATCTAAACTATAAAACTTAATAATCTCAACAAATCATTTACATTAAATTATATTTTCGTTCATCTAAACAATTCACTTACAATAAATGTAACATAAATTATAGATTTAACTAAAAGTGTTTTAAGTATTTTTGAAGTAGATTTTTCTTTTTTTTTCTTTTTTCTTTTCAAATTTATTAGCGGTATTTATGAATAGTTAACAACTTTCTAAAACAAGAATGAACCATAATCAATGATAAATAATCAATATTATTAGGTAATTTGTTTTAGTTCTGTCGAAAAACAATTCGACACCTTTCTTTGGTTGATAAGTTAAATCAAATTGGTGTACATAAAATGTTACTTGTAGAAAATTTCATTCTTTCATTTATTTCAGTCACTAACATATATCAGATGGGTTTTGCGGATATTATAGTAATTTCAATGGTTAAGATCATGAGTCAGTTGAAACTAAGGCACCATGGAAAACGTGGTAGCGCGCGAGATCAGTAGGTCGTGGGTTCGGATCTTGCAGGGGCGAGGTCGTCCAGTGCTTCCAAGTTTTTCATGGTGGTCTAGCTTCAACTGACTCATGATATTAACCACTGAAATAACATATATAATTAGTATAATATTCTTTTGCTTTTATTGCTTCCAGGTATTTAATGATGATCTTACATTAATTGATTTATGATGTCAATCAAAAATTCAATAATCTTTACAACCCCTTACTAATAATTATCATATGTTCAATAGTGATTAGCTTTGAGAGGTAATTCCTTGGAGTTCTAACGAGAAACTGTGATCAGTGAAGTTAATCCATGACAGGTAGAGATACATATCTATCTTAGACAATGGAAGATAGTAATATTTTTTTGTTTTAGTAAAATTATCCTTGTTAGTTTTTATTTTCATTAATTCATATTTCTAAATGAAGGTTACATAATTATGACACTTTTCTTAATGTATAGGTTTTAGTTTAAAAGTGTGAAGCTGACATTTCAATAGTCTTTAATAACAGCCCCGATAAAACATCTTTGATTGTCAGCTTGGTTGGTGTTAGTTCAAATCTCTATGGTAGTATCAATTCTTAAAAGATTGTCAACTATCATGGAATCTAAGGTTAAAGAAAGAAACTTTTATTCTGATTCATTATCAGTAAAAATTGCTTGAAATATAGAATATTATGCATAAATTTTAGTTTCAATACAAATAGTACAATATATTTTCAGTGAACGGTACTGAGTTTGAGTCCCGGAGCGACCATCAACTCTGAGATGAGGGTACATTCAGTTGACAAGTACTAAATAAGACGAAACATTAGTCCTGGATTCTACTGTTAGCCACTATACATCTTTGTTTATAACGCTTGTGATTTCAGGCAATATTGAAGCAGTCTGCACAGGAAGTACATATGCCAACAAGAGAGTGATCAATCACAGTCCTAAGCATCAATGGGAAGAATCAAGTAAACAATACCAAGTGAATTTATTCAGAAATAATTTATCTTATATGTACAGATCATTGATAATTACATTATAAATGAAATCTAGTCTCTTTAATTCTTGTGATAAGTATACTACTAATCAGTCATTTCATTGAAATTCAGTAGTTATCCTTCATCTTCCCATTGTAATGATTGAAAAATACTAATTTTTAATGTAAAGTAACGTCAAAATTCAGATTGAGGAAATACCTAATGGGAAGTAATTGAATATGAATTTATCAGTATAGGGGTTGTAGAGATTGTTAATTTTTGGTTGAGATCATGAACTGATTGATGTTAGACCACCATTGAAAACCTGGGAGCCGTGACCAGTGGAGCTAATCTGTGTCGGGTTGAAAGAGGTGTTTACCTCAGTACAATGTTAGCTGGTTGCGCAACTTCGTAGATTGGTTGATGTTAGACACTAACACCACTGTATGCCGGCTCAGTGGTCCAGTAGGATAAACGTTTGCGCGTGAGACCGAAGGCCCTGGGTTCGAATCCCGCGAGCGGGACCGTGGGCGCGCATTGCTGAGAAGTCCCACAATAGGACGAAACGGCCATTCAGTGCTTCCAGGTTTTCAATGGTGGTCTAATATCAATGGGTTCATGATCTCAATCCGAATATGAATTTGATTAGTCTGTAGGTTTTAACAAAATAAAAACAGAATAATCAGTCACTTTACGTGAAATAATCAGTACTTAACAACACAGAATCTGGTATACATCTGGATTAATTCAAGTCACTACATCCTATCAATAGAATAGTATGAGATTAACAAACCAGATCCCAGCGGAGGAAGAAATTAGGAAGAAACACTGGAAGTGGATAAGATACACATTGAGGAAAGCACCGAACTGCGTTAAAAGGTAAGCCCTCACATGAAATCCTCAAGGACAAAGGAGAAGAAGAAGACCAAAGAATACATTACGCCGAGAAATGGAGACAGACATGAGAAAAATGAACAAAAATTGGACAGAACTGGAAAGGAAGGCCCAGGACAGAGTGTGTTGGAGAATGCTGGTCGTCAGCGTATGCCCCATTGGGAGTAACAGACGTAAGTAAGTAAAACGCTGGATTTTTATGTAAATTAAGAATTGAATAATCACTATGAATTTTTCAGGCTAATAAAACATAAACTGTACCACATATGTTTATATACTTGTCTCATAAGTAAACTAAACGTTTTCGATAAAATCGAACAAGATAAGAATTTAGATGGTTAATGTGAACTGTACTGTAAATATACAACCGTTAGTATATATGTATTATTCGGAAAAAAATATATGAATTTTCAAACATATGTTAATCATTTGGTATTGTTTAGTTCCATCAGTTAGATCTTTGGGTCTTGGATCATTTTATGTTGATGCTGTTATTCTGGATCAGTGCTTACTTGATGTTGAAATAGGTTATTTATATATAATTCATGAGTCATAAATTAGTTCACCATAGATTTCTTTATCATTTTTTTCTTTGTATTCAACTTAACTATTTTGTTCAGTTGTTATGATCATATGGTTGACTGAACATTTTTGTAAGGGTTGTTAGATTGAATCAATCTAGATGTGTCTATCTTTTGTCAACTGATCGGAATAAAGCGAGCGTTGATGATGTCATCCAGAATGATAACGAAAGCTTTGCAATTAAACCATATATTTCAGAGAATTCGACAATTCTAAACCGTTCAACTTCGATCATTGGAGTTTCCACAGCATTGATCATTTATTTTGGAACCGCTGAAATATCAGTTCTTATGTTTGACTCAGAGTACCAAGTAAGGATGCCAAGTAGATTGATGAGGTAGTAAATCCTTATCAACTGGAATGGTTGGGACATGTATTACACATGCCCAACTACTATCTACCACGATGAGTCATGATATCTGAGAAAGGAATAGGTTGGAAGAAGACTACAGACGACTAAACCAAAACGTGGCATCAATCCATGAAGTTATCCGCAGTTGAGAAAACGAAAAGCGAATGTCTAGCGCTTTAACTGGGTTGGTGGACACGGAGAGTCCATCTAGGAGAGTTGGAAAACCGTGATTCCAAACCAATGGTGCACATTGGCTCCAAGATCCTGAAGGAACAAATGGCGTATGAACCAATTATTGGTCACCAGCTACCATAGGATTGAATTTTCTGACGTTGCTCCATTGCATTGTGGATCAGACCTGTAGGTCGAAGGCTCCGGTTTTGGCTTCCTAAGAAAACTGCCTGCTTCAGTCTGGGGACCCGGGCAGTATCACAGCCCACACACAAACCAACTGACTTGTGTGACGCCTATGTATTAGGTACCCCTTTTTTCCAATATTTATGTGTTCAAATAAATAAATAGCAGTTGCATTCAGCTATGTAGGTATACACAAACTACGTAGTTCAAGTGTGCTCCATTATCGTAACACATGATTGGAAGCATTCGGCGAGATATCTCACAATCCATCACAATGACGCAAGTGCATGAATTATTTGTCTTCTCTTAGGTTCTAAGTTTATAAATTTCTTATAAAGTTTGGTTTCTCATTTCACTAGTTTTAATTTTCTTAAATCCTTTCTTCCACTTATACTGTGGTGTGGGCTACGTATATCGACGTAAGTAGTATATAACACTAGTCAAGAATAGAATGTCTGGCAACAGACGATCGACAAGATAGAGAAGAAAAGTACAGAAACAGAAAGCGATTGGTATGGAAATACTGGAACACTGAAGTCTCAAATGATTGACTGATATTTACAAAAGAAAAACAGTCAAGTTTGAGACAATTGATTGGCATTTTGCAAACTAATTATTCACTGTATGATTCTTAAATTTTACTAAGATGTTCTGTAATTTTGTGCTCAACTACAATCAATTGTCCCCACTTATGTTCTCATTCACTACACTACTATACCTGAATTTCTCCTGATCATTCCATCTCGTTGTACTGATAAGGTTTTGCAACATTAACCAATGGAAACATGTCCCAAGTTTTCATGTTGCATATGACTGACTGACTGACTGACTGACTGATTTACTAACCTTAACTGTAAATCACCTCCTCTATTTCAACTGTTATACAATAGAAGTTAATAAACATTAAACATTCTAAATAAGTATACACTTACATATTACAAAGTACAAATATCACTTTATATACAACAAACAAAGTATCAACAATCACTTACTATAAATCCACGATACCATTGTTTAATTTGTTTTTTTGTAAAATTTGTATTCGTTCTTAAAAATTCTAAATCTTCTTTTGGTAATTTTTTTCTTGATCCTAAAATGTTACCCATTTTTTTCTTTTTTTCTTTTTTTCTATTTTTTTTCTTTTTATGTTATCAATTGCATTTAATCAAAAACGGAAAATATAATTTTGGGAAATCTAAAGTGACAAAATAGAAGAAAGCGAGGGGGAGAAAAAGAAGAAAAAAAAGAACATCAGCATTGAATAATAGAACAGTGAAAGCAAAAAAAATAGTTCATTAGAATTTCACCAATGAACCTATTCAATATTGTAAATCTCGAAAGGATTATAGTAATAAAAAAAATGAGTAATAGTCTTAGTAGTATGGAGATCTCTGTAGGTTATAGCAACTCACGTGTAGTTCAGTTTGTTCTCATTTAACTCAGTTAAGCCCTTTTGTTAACTTATTTAGCGGACAAAGTCATCCGTACTATAACAACTTATTGTACCTTTACAATTATTGTGCTTGTATGAAATATGTATGCTTAAACCATTGCTTACCGCCTACTCATATATTCATTCTGCTAGGTTTATTATTAACTGCTTAATTGATTCGATGATCCATTCATTTCCTTATATATATATATATATATATATATATATATATATACATGTATATTTAACACTCGGTTCGCTGATTCACTCATTCGCCTCACTGCTTTGTGGTCTGAGTTATCTGCTAATAAAACTGTAGTCGCTGCTTCTCTCATTGCCTTCTGATTTCTAACACCGTTGAGGATTATATGATAACGACTACGAGGTTGATTGGTCATCGAAGCATAGCCACTACAAGTCTGATGATAGACTGATCTTACTCAGATAACCATTGATGATCAAAAAGCGTTGAATGGATGGATGTGTTCACTATTGACTAATTTTTTATGGGCTAGACAGAGATTCGTAATGATCATGTTGCATGTGAGGTAGTTATGTAGTGTCAGTTATTATGGCAAGCCCATATACCTTTATTCTAACTTCCGGACATCCTATTTTATTCATTTTACTTGAGCCATATTTTGACCTTGTCAATTATTCGCTTGTCAGTCTTGACTGTTTTTTTATATGAGCGTATATGAGTGTACACTTCATGTCCCATGATTCATTGTATGTCTGTAGCTTATTTTGTTTGACTATAAATACTGAGTAACGCTTAATTAAAATGGAGTTGGCTTCCCAGCCATCTTCCATACGCGTCATTTTTGCTTTGTTATGGCTCTCGCCCGCTTAGCATGCGAACGGGCCACTTCAGTTAATTACCAATGGGATTGAAAGATGGTTGATTAATATTGTGAATTGATTGAAGTTAGAAATGTACACAATTGGATGGTGGGTGAGTGGTTTTAAGATTAAGCAGTTACCGCGAGACCTTAAGTTAAAGTAAAAATTATGAACTATTAGAGTTAAGCTCAATGGTCTAAATATAAGATACTAACCACTGAGTCTGACAGACTATTATGTGATCCATGATGTAGTCGTATGTGTGTGTGTGTGTGAATGTCCCTAGAGAATATCATAACAAGTTGGAACAGCTAGATCTTCAATGCTGGTTTAAGTATGCTTTGTATGAGACGTAAATCATTTTCAACTTAAAGTAAGAAAAGATCAAATTACCAACGAATCCATTCCATATTTAGAAAACACCATTTCATGTATGAATTTCTCAAGAGTGAGAATCTTTTGTTTCGTTTTCAGTCCAAAAAATTCCTATTTGATTATAGATACTCAGTGTAGTGAGCAAGAACAAACGAACACTTAAACTCAACAAGAAGTCAAGTTGGAATAAAATTCACAAAGTTACTTTAACTGTTGTGTGAAAATTAATTTAGTTGTCAAAAGTTAAACAAGCTAATTTGAAACATATAAGACAAACGAAATACCATTCTAATTCACCAAAACTAATTGACGTAAACGCATTTAATATCGATAAAATCTTATTGTCTGTTAACACATCAACACTTTAAACTCCATCTACAAAAACCCTAGATAGTGGACAAAATGACATATAAATGAACAAACATAGATATTCAAATCAAAGTTTGTAGGGATTTCTGATTGAGATCATGAACTGATTAGTGTTAGATCGCTATTGAAAACTTGGAAGCACTGGATGGCCGTTTCGTCCTGTTGTGTGACTCCACAATTCCGCCCACGGGATTCGAACCGAGGACCTATCGATCGCACGCGCGGACGCTTAACCTCTAGACCACTGAGTCGGCCGACATTCAACAGTGTTCATGTCTAACTTCAACCAATCCACGAAATCGCACGACCATCCTCCACTGTACTGAGATAGATACCTATCTCTACTCGACTTGGATTAAGGATTGTTCAATAAGAAGTTGCTATTGATCAAGAGGTAACTTTAGTTAGAAAACCTTTCACAGACTGAACAACAGTTACACTCAATAGATTACTAAGTCATAAGTAATATTATCTTTATTTAGTCTTTAGTGTTAATCTAATTCTTTGAAGAGAGTTCTAATATCATCATAAATCTAGGTGACTTGATATTATATGTTAGATGATAGTTGGAGGTTGTTTTGTATTTTCGGACAGTTTTTCCAATCATCTAATAACTAAACAACATTCGTATATCACCTTTTTCAACGTTCTAAAAAGAATATCTCCATGATTGTTGCTAAGAGGGATATAGAATTAAATTTTAAAATGAATAGAAAGAATCAAAGTTATTTTATTGGAAAAAAACAACATTCAGATAAAATGAAAACTACCTATTTATCATCAATTACTGAAATAAAGATTAAAAAATAGGAACCCAATCTATATAGGAAAGTAACTTTTTTTTACCACATTATAACTCTCATTCTAAATGCATACAGATTTCCGTTTGTTTCCGTATTTTGTTTGTAACATTTCAGTGTATACTAACACTAATCAAGTGAATAAATTCATTGTGTGTGTGTGTATATGTATGTATGTATGTATGTATAAGTGAATACATGGAATATTAATTCGATAATATTTTATGCACTGTTGAAGCATTGACAATCCACGAACTTAAGTTTGAACTTTGCGTGCAGAAACGATTCGTCCAATCTCTCATCCTTCCTTGACCTTAATTCCCTTAATCGTATGTGCTACTGATCTCGATAAATATAAGTAGTATACATCATCAGTCGAAAGTGAAATAACAATGTTATAACTTTCATTCTAAATGCATACAGATTTCCGTTTGTTTCATTTCAGTATATGTACTAACACTATTCAAGTGAATAGATTCATTGTGTATGTATGTAGGTATGTATTAGTGAATACATGGAAGATAAATGTATTTTGTTCCTAATTCATTTAAAATATCAACATTGTACGATAGTTTATTTCTCGTCATTTTTTTATTTTTTCTCTATTCCTTTTCTCTTTTTTTCTTTTTCTCTATTTTTTTTGTTTGCACTTAAATAAAATTTTTATCTATTTAAAATTTGATAATTTATTATCATGAATTTACTTTGCACAAAACTTCAATTGTAATTTTTGTACATGACCAACAGGGAATTGAAGACCAGCACGGGATGACCTTGTTTTAGCCTTACTACGAACTTTCCCACCTTTAACGCGTCCATTCATTATTTTAAGAAGTAGAGAAACGTGTATAAGCTGGGTGACACGAGATCGAATCCGCCAGGGAGCACCAGTTCCCTCAAGATTACAGGTACACCTTGCTGACGAGTGCCAAGTAGCACGAAACCCGGGTCCAGGGTTTCCTGTTGACTACCTCCAACCACCATCTAAACGTGTATAGTGTATATTACACTTCATTTACTCGTTTACAGCTTATTTTAAAATGAATTAACTAACATTAAATTGAATTGTAATTAGAGAGTTGGTGTTTGTATATATTATAAATGTGTATAGTTTGATCTATTTGTGTACTTTTAATGGTTGAGATCTTTGGTGGATTCATATAACGACAAAGATATAGAGTCTCATACTAGAACGAAATAATTGTTAAGATCCTTCTGGCTTTTAATGGGTCAATGAGTCAATTAAAGCTGGACCACCATGAAAAACATGAAAGCACAGGACGACTGATTCGTCCTATTGTGCGACTCCTCGGCAGTGCGCATCCACGACCCCGCCTCGCGGGATTATAACCCAGGACCTATTAGTTCGCGCCAGGTGCTTAACCAACTAGACCAATGAGCCAGCCAGCATCCAACGGTGTTAATGTCTAACTCCAACTAATCCACAAAATTCAGTGACACATCCACCATTGTCATCAGTGAGTTACTATCTCACAACAGACCCGGTCGAACTCTACTGGTCACTGCTTCCCACTAGAACTCCAGGAAATACCTCTTGAGGCCAGAATAGAAATGTTAACGAACAAATCTTAAATCGATAGCTGAAAAATTAAATGCTCACATTGAAGCATGTAATTCATGGATACATACTGCTAAATGGTCCTATCCTACGAAGATATAGCTATCTAATACTTGCAAAATTTTTATAACTGCACAACTAGAGTCAGTCTGTGATGAGAAACTATAAATTCAATATACTCTATAATATCTTATACAGATAATTCTTTTTCTTTTTTTTATTAACTGGTTAGTACAGTTGTTATGCATTGAAATTCTGATTCAAAGTCAACTCCTGACCGATTAACTTGAATATTGAGAAAAAATGAAATGAAAGAAATTTCTTTGTTGAAGTGAGTAAATGATTTAAGTAAAATTGAATATTCAATGTTTTATTCGAAAGACAGATGATCAGTACCATTTTAATTAGTTTTAAGAAATAAACTATTGTCATTTCAGACACTTGCTAACTAGTGTTAGGGATGGTTGGAAGAAAGTTAAAGGGGGCCAAACCAAAACTTGACATCAGTCCACAAAGTCACTAAATTCTGGTGTGGGCAATGTTGGTAGATGCAAACTACTTGGTTGAGGTCCGCGTGACTATCGTAACCAATGGTTAGAGATTTTGGGTTCAGAATCGACCAAAATGGCGTAGGTGTATACACTCTCTGCCTTCCCGATTAAATTCGCTAAATATCTTGCTTTCTACGAACTAGTTCTTTCTTCCTGT